GTTATGACTGACCTAGTGTCAATCATCTTGAAATCCAAAAACCTTGCAGCCACGAACTTCTTATGTCCGGCATCCTCAGTATTGTACTTCTTCTCAAGCGCATTCCATAACGCTTTTGAAGTTTCCATGACACTATAGACATTGTACAAGCCATCTTCCAAAAAACTCAATATGTAGTTTTTGCACAAGAAATCAGAATGTTTCCATGCTTCAGCTACAACAAGTCGTTCATCATCCAGAGTATTTTCAGCCATGACCGGAGGATCCTCCTTGATGAAACGTTGCAAACTCAATGTAGTAAGATAGAAGAGCATCTTCATTTGCCAGCGTTTGAAGTCAATACCGGAAAACTTTCCGAGTTTTTCTGCCGGTGCCATAACATGAGCAGGAGTAGAACGGCTTGACAAGGCAGCAACACTCGTAACAGTAGCACTCGTTCCCGCAACACTTCCATTAGTTTGGTTTTCATTCATCATATTTCTGTAAAGTTGGAAAACAATACAGAACTTGTTAAATCAGTGAAGTTTTGATATCTTCAAACTGAATACCAAACCAAACATACAACACGTAACAATGGTGAAGTTTTTATATACTTCAAACCCGTACGTTTATTATTCCGGCAAAGTTTTTATGTACTTTAAACCGGACAGAAACAATTATAGGAGTAGAAAGCAACAAGGCTTTAGTCTCCAACAAAGTATATAGAAAACAGTTTAATAATCAACACAGAAATGTTAGTAATTGTAAAATTCCTTAAGCTTGTGAGCGTTACTGTGTTAAAACAAAAATCATGAAACAAAACTGTTAGAAGAATAAAGAAATCTAGAAAACAATAAAGAATCAGAAATATTCCGAGTCCACAATTTTCTTGTGCGTCCTTAAGGAATTTTAACCCCCTCACACGTTGCCAAGGTAATGGATTAAATCCTCCCAGGATAAAACGGGATAAACCTTCCTGCAACAGTGGTAATACAAACTGCAGGATACCAACGAACTCAAAGAACGGAGCAAAATAACACTTACGAATTTGAGAGAGAGAGACTGCGAATTAGGATGCAGTGTATTCAGAAAGAAAGAAGTTCTGGAGTGTTTTTGTATGTAGAAAATGGAGCCTTGCCTCAGAATTTATAGGCAATTATCAGAAGAGGTGTCTGGAAAAGATGCCTTTTCAGAGGAATACGCTGCCTGCCGCGGTTCTACCGCGACCGCGCCAGAACCGCGGCCAGATAGGCTCTCTGAATCTTCCTGCCGCGGTTCCACCGCGGTCGCGGTAGAACCGCGGCCAGAGAGACCCTCTGAATCTTCAGCAAGATTCTGGCGTATTTTCAGCAGTGACTTGGCATTTAATTAATTATTAAATAATTAAATAAATTTTGTTCAAAATATAATCTTATCGATCGATCATTTGACAAATCCAAATCCAAAGCCGAGCCGAGCGACGATGACTACAACGTCGCGAGTGTTCATTCTCTTCAACCCTTTTTAAGTTCTTTAAGAAGTGATTCTATATATAAGCACACAAATGTGGTTGTCCTCACCAATGAGGGACAAAGTGCAAGACAAAAGTTCACTTCTTCAAATTTTTCATTTTCCCTCCATATTATTTCCCTCCATTTTCCATTCACACTTCTTCTACTTTAAAGCCCAATGGCTTAAAGTCCAACAATTATTTGGCATTCTGAATGATGGCAACGTCCGTTAACATTGTATTTGGTAAAACCTTCACGGGCTAAGTGTCACTTTACTAAGCTTCAAGAAGTTTTCAATTCAAGTTTTATTACACTGGGTTTGTTATAAAATATAACCCAAAATAACTATATAAAACAAGCAAAAACAAACTAAGAGATATAGAGAGAAAGAGAGGAAGAGAGATTCTTATTTCTTCTTCAATTGTGTGTATTTTCCTATCTATTACAAGGTCTTTTTATAGGCATAAATGTGAAGAAAATATGTCATAGAATATGTCATTAAACATACAAAATACGACATTGAATATGTCATTAAACAATTGAGATGAAGATCATGGAAGAAGAGTAGACATCCAACATAATGTGATATTTATCATAACACTCCTCCTTGGATGTCCATATATAATGTGCCTCGTTAAAACCTTATTAGGAAAAAACCCTATGGGGAAAAAAATCCTAGTGAAGGAAAAAGAGTACACATGTTTAGAAATACGCCTTTTGGTTGCCACGTTAAAAACCTTGCAAGGAAAACCCAGTGGGACAAAACTTTGTAAGGGAAAAAGAGTACAATGCGTATTAACTCCCCCCTAATGAGAGCATCAACTCACATCCTTGAGCCTTTGCATCCCAATTTTGTAAACCAGTTTCTTGAAGGTTGATGTTGGTAGAGATTTGGTGAACAAATCAGCCATATTATCACTTGAACGAATCTATTGCACATTGATATCACCATTCTTTTGAAGATCATGTGTAAAAAATAACTTTAGTGAAATGTGCTTTGTCCTATCTCCTTTTATGAATCCTCCCTTCAATTGGGCTATGCATGCTGCATTATCTTCATACAAAATTGTGGGTAGTTTTTCACACTTCAAACCACATTTGTCTCGGATAAGATGTATTATAGACCTCAACCAAATACATTCTCGACTTGCTTCATGAATAGCAATTATCTCAGCATGATTAGAAGAAAAAGCCACGATTGATTGCTTAGTCGATCGCCAAGATATGGCAGTGCCGCCACATGTAAATACATAACATGTTTGAGATCGAGCCTTATGCGGGTCAGATAAATACCCAGCATCGGCATAACCAACAAGATCGGGATTGCAATCATTGCCATAAAATAAGCCCATATCGGTAGTCCCTTTTAGATATCGCAATATATGTTTGATCCCATTCCAGTGTCTCCTTGTAGGAGCAGAGCTATATCTTGCTAAGACATTAACCGAAAAAGTTATGTCAGGCCTTGTAGTATTAACAAGATATATTAGTGCACCAATTGCACTAAGATATGGTACTTCAGAACCAAGAATCTCTTCATTCTTTTCTTGAGGTCGAAACGGGTCCTTATTCACATCAAGTGATCGAACAATCATCGGAGTACTTAATGGATGTGCTCCATCCATGTAAAACCGTTTCAATACCTTTTTAATGTAGGCAGATTGATGAACAAAAATCCCATTTGTCAAATGTTCAATTTGCAAATCGAGACATAATTTTGTCTTTTCGAGATCCTTCATCTCGAATTCCTTCTTTAAATAATCAATTGCCTTTTGGAGTTCTGTAGGAGTTCCAATAAGGTTTATGTCATCGACATACACGGCAAGTACAACAAATTCCGATGTTGTTTTCTTTATAAAAACACATGGACAAATAGCATCATTTATATAACCCTCCTTTAATAAATACTCACTAAGACGGTTATAACACATTCTTCCTGATTGCTTTAGACCATACAAAGATCTTTGCAATTTGATTGAAAATATTTTCCGGGACTTTGAATTTTGTGCGTTAGACATTTTAAATCCCTCAGGAATTTTCATGTATATCTCATTATCAAGTGAGCCGTAAAGGTAGGCTGTAACTACATCCATTAAATGCATGTCAAGCTTTTCATGGACAACAAAACTAATGAGATAACAGAATGTTATAGCATCCATAACAGGAGAATATATTTCTTCATAATCGACACCAGGCCTTTGTGAAAATCCTTGTGTAACAAGGCGTGCCTTATATCTTTGTACCTCATTTTTCGTATTTCTTTTGCGTAGAAAGACCCATTTATAGCCAGCAGGCTTAACACCATTAGGTTTTTGGACTACATGCCCAAAAACTTCACGTTTTGCAAGTGAACTTAACCCTAATTGGATTGCTTCTTGCCATTTTGGCCAATCAAGTCTTTGTCGACATTCTCCAACAGATTGAGGTTCAAGATTCTCACTTTCTTGCATAATGCTAGATGCAACATTATATGCAAAGATGTATTCCACCACTATATTCATTCGATTCAAATTTGTTTCAATATCGATTGGATTTATTGATAGTTCCTTATTTTCTTGAGTCTCAGGCTCATTGATTTCCTCATGAATCTCAGGATTAGTTAAATCGTGAATTTCTTTATGAGACACTTTCAATAGTGTCATCTTGATCATTTGTTTTCCTTTTTCTAGGATTTCGATCCTTAGAACCTAATGGTCTGCCACGTTTTAGGCGTGCTTTTGACTCATTAGCTATGACACTAGAAGATTGTCCAATAGGGACATCAATACGGATTGGAACATTCTCTGTAGGGATATGTGATTTTGTTATCCTTTTCAGATCCGTAAATGCATCTGGCATTTGATTTGCTATTTTCTGCAAATGGATAATCTTTTGTACCTCTGTGTCACAAATAGAGGCACGTGGATCAAGATGAGATAATGATGTATTTTTTCACAAAATTTCACGTTTGGTTTCACTAATTTCTCCCCCTAATTTTGGAAAAAATGTCTCATCGAATTGACAATCTGCAAAATGAGCAGCGAACAAATCTCCCGTTAATGTTTCAAGGTAGCGAATAATGGAAGGCGATTCAAACCAACATATATTCCTAACCTTCTTTGGGGGCCCATCTTGGTGCGATATGGGGGGTGCTATAGGCATATATACAACGCATCAAAAATTCTTAGATGAGATATATTAGGTTCATGACCCAAAACTAATTGCAACGGGGAATATTTGTGATAATTTGTCGGTCTGAGACGAATTAGCATTGCTGCATGTAAAATAGCGTGACCCCAAACAGAAGTGGGCAACTTCGTTTTCATGAGTAACAGTCTTGCTATCAATTGCAGACGTTTAATTAAAGACTCTGCAAGGCCATTTTGAGTGTGAACATGAGCTATAGGATGTTCCACTTTTATCCCAATTGATAAGCAATAATCATTAAATGCTTGGGATGAAAACTTAGCAGCATTATTAAGTCTAATAGACTTAATTGGATTATTGGGAAATTGTGCCTAATCGGATTATTTGTGCCATTAATTTTGCAAACGCGAGGTTGCGAGATGACAATAGGCATACATGAGACCAGCTAGAAGATGCATCTATTAAGACCATAAAATATCTAAACGACCCACTAGGTGGGTGAATAGGTCCACAAATGTCCCCTTGTATACATTCTAAAAACGCAGGAGACTCAATCCCAACCTTTGTTGGTGATGGTCTTATAATTAACTTGCCTTTATAACAAGAAGTGCAAGAAAATTCATTATTTAAAAGAATTTTCAAATTCTTTAATGGATGCCCATTTGAGTTTTCTATGATTCGTCTCTTCATAATTGATCCAGGACGGCCCAATCGATCATGTCAAAGTACAAAAGTATTGGAAGCAGTAACCTTTTGGTTTAAGGTAGAATGTGCCTCAATTGCATTAATTTTTTTCCAATACAGGCCACAAAATAAAGATGGGAACTTCTCAATAACTCTTTTCCGGCCAGAGACATTCTTGGTAACGATGAGATATTCCATATTATTCTCATCTATTGTCTCAATATGAAATCCATTTCCGCGGATATCTTTAAAGTTCAACAAGTTCCTCTTGGACTTGGAGGAGAACATTGCATTCTCTATGATAATTATTATTCTCATAGGCAGAGTTATAATAGCTCTTCCATAGCCTTCAATTAGATTACTACTACCAGAAATTGTAGTAATATCTGCCTTACACATACTTAAATGAGAAAAATATTTATTCTCTTTGAATATTGTATGTGTCGTACATGAATCAATTAAGCAAATATTTTTACAATTGACCTTTGATCCAAGTTTGCTTTGAAAGATATCCATATTTGCTTCCTTAATTTTCTCAAAAATCTTCTTGAGATGGTAGAGCCTCGTGCTGATAACGTGTTATAAAATATAACCCAGAATAACAATATAGAACAAGCAAAAACAAACTAAGAGATATAGAGAGAAAGAGAGGAAGAGAGATTCTTATTTCTTCTTCAATTGTGTGTATTTTCCTATCTATTACAAGGTCTTTATATAGTCATAAAAGTGAAGAAAATATGTCATAGAATACGTCATTGAACATACAAAATATGTCATTGAATATGTCATTAAACATTTGAGATAAAGATCATGGAAGAAGAGTAGACATCCAACATAATGTGATATTTATCATAACAGAGTTATTATTTTTATTTATTATTTTATTAGTACAATTACTTTGAGTGTTCAAAGATTTGAACTCTCATGTGCCACAAGATAGGCTTCACTGTTCACTCAGCAAATAATTATACGCTTTTGAGATCCTTTTCCCCCTATTTGATATTTTTATGGGTGAGTTATTTGGAGAAGTTAATCTATTTCTTTTATTTTTGGGATTTTTACATTTCTATACACTATTTGAAATTTTATTACTCACTCCTCCTCCCAATTCAAGTTTCAATTTAATTACATAGGCATATACAAGTTACCAATTATATACACTTTAGGAATTAAATGAGTATCCCTTTATATTAGGAATTGAATAATGAATCAATTATTTCCTATCCTAACCTTAAAAAGCTTTGAAGCTTTGAATTTGAATTTGGGTTTTCAAAAATCATAATTTGTTTGGATTAGGTATTGTTGCAAATAATTGAGAATGTTGTTTGGAGTTTATATTTCAATTTTGAGGGTGTTTGGGTGAAGATTAGACTTGATTTTGGCTAAATTTGGATGAAAAAGAACACATGACATACAATATACTTACGAAATTATAGTAAAGTTGTAGTATAATTGTATGTAAATTATATTATATTGTATATTATATATATATATATACACACACACTAGTTTTTCGGCACACACATTGCGCGTGTATCTCATCTTCTTTTTGAAAAAAATTACATAAATATAATAATGAAGTTGTGCTTGAGTTATAGAGTAAAAGATAAAGACAAAAGTGTAAGTGCAAGAAAATGATGATTGTTGATTCTTAGTTAGCCAACTCAATACTACCGGATGAGACCTCAATCATCTCAGCTAATATATTCAGTTTAAAATTTGTTTAAGCTTTATATTTTTATTACTTCAATTTCACAAGTTATCATGCTTCTCTTTTAGCTTTAGCGTGAATATCCTAGAAGATTCAGATATTTTTCTGAATTTTCTTTAAAAGCTATTTCCTTTTAAATAAAATGGTCAGGTGACGAACATAAGATGTTTCTTCATTTTAGGAAAGCTTAATTTCTCTGTCCAAGCACATATTCATGCACTCAGATGTTGTGTTTTTGTGAAGCAAGAGTTTATTATCGTTATCGAATTACTTTTAATTGATGGATGTTCAAAGGACTGTATTAATTCTATCCCATAAGAAGTAAAGATATAAAAAAAATATTAATAACATAGTTAGAATTTATTCTTTCAACCAGTTCCCACAGTATAGTGTTTTACTTTCGTTTGCATCTATAATAAATTATCATTTAAAGATTTGAATTTTTTGTAATTGTTTCTAATTTGTTAAAGTATTTTTAAGAGAAATATTTTACAAAAATACTTTGTTTATTTATTTCTAAAGATACTTTATTCAGAGGATTTAAATATGTTTTTTCTTCTTCCATACACCAGATTTCTTTTTTCTATTTTGCCATTCACTTAAATGGTAAGTGCTTTAGTATTATTTAGATATGTGCACTAATTTGCGATATAATAGCTTGATAATCATTGAATTACATAGATTTCTTATTTTGTTGGGGTTTTTTCAAATCAAGAATCACTCGTATAAATTATTCCTAGATTTCAGTCTACCTATAGACACTCTTGTAATAACTTAACTTTATTTTTGTTGTAATGTATTTTATTGTAACAAAAATAGATACAGATAACTATAAAAACTCTCCCACCATAGTATTGCTTGATAAAAACATACTGCTACATATTATTAATCAAGGTGTTTTATCCTTTTTATCCATAAAAATCATGAGTGTACAAATCTGTCTAAAGTTTGCAAATTTGCCATTACATCTTTATAATTTTTATATTTTCATTCCTAAACATATTTATATTTTAATCTCTCTTTCCTTCACGTGAAAAAGTACATAAAAAAAATACTTCACAAAGATCATAGTCATCTCTCTTTTTAAGTCGGACCAAGGAAAGAAACTAAATCAGAAACTTATTATTATAGTAGTACATACTAACTAAACCAACATATATGCAATGCAAAAGGCAGAAAAACAGAGTCGTACATCTATTATCACACGGGGAAAATTTGGTCGATAATGATAATAAGACAAAGTTCCAAACAGTATTAAAAAAAAAAACTTTGCGCCGTTGTATATAGAGAAATTAACTTACTGATTGAAGAAAAAATATTCGATGCATAATGAATTCCTTCAATGATTTTCTTTTTAATCTCCATAATTTTAAGAGAAGTCAAAAGATCAAGGAGTGAAAAGAATAAAAGAATATTATTGTACACACATAATTGTTGACTTAATTTTCTTCAGATATGCCATCCTTGATTCTAAATTTCTACATTATTTGTCACGTTGTGTAGAAATAATATGATTTTCAGAACTTCTGAAATTCAAAGAATACCACATTCTTGTAGGATCTTTATTTCTTTGAATAGAAAAATAATCAGTCTTCTATAGCAATTGAACTTAACCGCATATTTGCATCGTTACTATGGTTAATCTTTTCTTCTCAACTTTCAGTGTTTTATTCCTTTCAATTTTTTCCTTTGTGTTATTCTTAAAAATCCAAGAGTCATTCGTTAAATGACACNTGGAATTTTAGAGAGGAAGAAGCACACACCACAGAAAAAATATATACAAATCAGATACAAAATATATACAAAGATACATTATATAAAAATTATATTTAAGTTGTATGATATTGTAGTTGTATATAACTGGGTAGAAATAATATATGAAAATTTTAGATAAGTTGTACATAAGTTGTATAATATATAATTAGTTGTATGAAATTTGTTTTTACTTTGTATAAATCAGATACAAAATATACAAAAGACATATTGTATATAATTTGTGTAAAAATTATATTTAAGTTGTATGATATTGTAGTTGTATTTAACTGGGTAAAAATAATGTATGAAAATTGTATAATATATAATTACTATGTATAAATCAAATACAAAATATACAAAAGACATACTGTATAAAATTTGCATAAAAATTATATTTAAGTTGTATGATATTGTAGTTGTATTTAAGCACACACCATAGTTGTATAATAAGGTTTCAAATCAGACACCACAGATATGTCAATTACATTTTGTACCCATAACTTTTAACGTGCAATGGGTTCTATTAGTACACTGTATTCAATACCAAAAAACTAGAAAATCGTTAGTTTAAAAAAACAGAACAGAAAATTTCCGACTCCATAATTTCCTTGTGTGTCCTTAAGGAATTTAATCCCCTCACAGTTGCCCAACGTTACGGATTCCTCCCAGGATAAAACGGAATAATTATTCTGTGATAGCGGCACTTCAACATAGAACTTCGGCGAACTCAAATGGCGGAACAAATCACACACACAAAAAAGAGCTTACGTTTTGCTTTTGAAAACCAATGCAGAATGCAGAAGATTGAGGGGAGATATTTCAGATTTTTTCGGTAGTGGAAAATGAGGCTTAACCTCTCTATTTATAGCCAAAGAAGTTGAGTCCCAACAGGTGAATAGGTGCCTATTCGTTAATAAGGTGTCTATTCAGCAGAAATTATTTAAATTTCTGTTGAAAATCCAAATTATCGCCAATTGACCGAAGCCGAGCCGAGCGATGACGCCGACGCCGCGAGACACCACTTCTTCTTAACTCTTTAAGAGCTAGAAGATATGCTTCTCTATATAATCACAAAAAATTTCTTTCCTTCTTCCAACGAGGGACAAAGTGCATTAGTAAAGTGAACTAATTCAAAATTTCATTTTCCTCCATTTCTTTTCCCACTATTTTCCATTCACACCTCTTTTGTTGTTACTAACAAAACCTAATAGGTTCAGTGCTAAAAACATAAAAGATTGAACGAAAATTAAAATTCTGGATCCGTCTTTGCTTGCGCTTGTGCTTGAGAATAAGATATGTATCTCATGTGTATAAATTTCATTTGATAAGGTAAAGATATAAATGTGAGAAGGTTGGCGTGCAGACTTCCACTTTAGACACTTCGATTATTGTTTCCCACCAGACTTCTATGCCAGGGTAAGTTGCTGGTTAGGACATTACCAGAACATTGACAGAGATTATTTATAGTTTACATTAATGACAAAATTAAATTATTGAGAAAATTGCAGGTGGGAATTGCGGGAGTTCCTGCTGATACTAAGAATATGTGCAGAACTAGGATAGTTGACGATCAATGGATACTGATATGGAATGAGGAATTCGAATTCCCAATTCATGTTCCTGAACTGGCTTTGCTTCGGATTGATGTTAAAGATTATGACCCCTCGGGAGAAGATGAAGTTGCCGGACAAACAAGCTTGCCACTTTCTGAGCTCTCTTGAGATTCAATGCGTTCCACAGTATAAGCGGATAGGAGAGGGAAGAGAGGAGAGAAAAAAAGAAAAAGGTATAACTAAATTCCTTTATTGAAGATACTAATAATGGATTGAGAACCTTTTATAGTGGAATGTATATTTTTTGTAGTTAAAACTTGTTTAGGTCGGGTAATACCAAAACTTAGACATTTTTGGTAATAAAGTTTCAAATAGTGTATAGGAACGAAAAATCCCTTTATTTTTGGGAATAATTGTTACAACCCATATTCATGTACGTTAGTTCATGCTGTAAGGTAGTCGATGTAAACCCATGAAGAGATTATCTTTAAGATGATAAGAAGTTAATCCTATTGGTCTTAAATTATACAAGGGTGTATAAGGGTAGTTAACAAGTATTAGAAGTTAAACGAATCAATGATATTGTAACCCGTATTTATGGGTAAACTTAGATGTGCTTAATATACTCAAAAGGTTGTATTTTAAGGTATTTGAATCATATAATATCCATATCATAAGTCTTGAAGTCAAACGAGTAATGAAACAAAAGTTGTCGCAACTTAGGTTCATAATTTTACTTAAACTTTAGGTCAAATATTACTAAGCTTTTCTCCCAATTTACTTGGAATTATGGGGTGATCTAGCCACCCAATTAAAAATCTATGAGTTTAGTTACCAACTCATTAAACCGTTCGTCGATACGATCTCGGAGTACAGAGATATTCACGTTTTTGTGAGATTGCGCCAAACAGCTCTATGGGGCCCACATAGGCGGTTTAAGACATAGGGATATATATAAGATGTCTCAAATCTGTTTTAAGTCATTATTTTTCAGTATATTTAGAACTTAGAACCCTAAAAACATTCTCTCAAGTTTCTCTCATGATCCAAGACCCAAACAAAGGGCAAACAACACAAATCAAGCGTCGGAGATCCCGTGATGCTAGTAAGTTTCTTGTTCTTCCTGTTGTTGCTCATTTTTGTGTTGTTCCAGCTCATATGAAAGGCTGTTTAAATGGTTTATGTTCTGTAAATACTCCCTCAAGTTTTTAATATCAACCCTAGGTGATTTCATGTCTTCCAAAGTGATTCTAGTGCCGAAAAACCCTAATTGATTGCTAGTTTTGCTTCCTTGTTCTTGTGGCAGCATTGAAGGGATATTTTGTGGAAAATTAAGGTCAAATTGGAGTTATTATTTCTGTTTAAAGGTAAGGAACCTCTTACTCTACATGTATTTAAGATTATCCAAGTTGCGGCTACGTCGTTGAAGCTAGAACTTGTGAAATATATATTGAAAGGCTTGGTAGTAGTGCTGTTAGTTGGTGGACTATTTTGGGAGGCTCAATATGATTATTATTGATGTTATTTGAGCTGTTTGGTAATTGTTTTGACTTGTGGGAAGTTATATAAATAGGGGAGGTGCTGTCCGTTTTCTCGTAAAATAGGTTGTGGTCGATACATAATAGTTACGATGCCTAAACGATAAAGATAGTGTCATTTCTCTTATTGTAGACTAAAGAGTCGTGAAATTTGCATAGCTTGAGTTTGGGCAATATATACAAGGTATGTGAGGCTATCCCTTTCCTTCTTTTGCACGACTCTGATTGTACATAATGTAATGAATGAGCTTACAAAGATACTCTACTCTTAGAAGCTAGCACTACTTACATTGTTTCCCTTCTTATGGAGAGATTAATGTTGATGTTGTTTCTCTTATTCTTATGTTATCAATGTTGTTGGTACTTCCTTATTCTTATAAGATTCATGATTAAGAGTTAGTTGTAATAACTTGTACAGAGGATACCGATCTTACATCATTCTGAAAGGTGTAGAATATTATTCCAATGAGTCCAGCATACATTATATATATGTATCTATTTTACTCTACCGAGTCACGCTATAGACGGTCGGGTACGACACCTATTGTGCAACCACTCATCAGTTGGGTTTTACTTAGCTACCGGGTACGATTTTACCGAGCCTTATGATGGCCAGGTACGTTTTTACTGAGCCTATTACGACCGGGTACGATATGATGAAGATGATGCCCACAAAGGAGTATGTTTTAAAAGTTTATGTATAAATATGTCTGTATCATGCATTGAGGTACCCAGATGTTGCAGGTTGTATATTTTCTATCCCTATTTACATTACTGTACATACTTATGCTTTCTTGCCTTGCATACTCAATACTTTATTCGTACTGACGACCTTTTTATTTGTGGACGCAGTATGTCGTGCTGCAAGTCCTGATAGACAGGTAGACGTAGCTCCCCCACCACAGTAGGCTGCCCAGTTCAGCGGTTATTGGTGAGATCCATTCTCCGGACTTGTCGTGGTTTTGGTATGCATTTTTGTTATAGATATTATGGGTATGTCAGGGCCCTGTTTCGGCAATATTGCAGAACTTATGCTCCTTTAGAGGCTCATGTATAGTTTGGTATGCCTTGTCGGCTGATTTTTGTTGTATAATCTTTCATGGCAGCGTGGTAGCTCGTACCTTATATATAATTTCATGACTGTCTGGTCATCCCATGTTATATATGTTCATGCCATTATCTTTTATTGTTGGTCATTCATGATCCATGTCTGCCATTTATATTGATCTCGTCGGCCCTTAAAGATAATAAGGAAGGTTAGATAAAATGTACGTTGGTGCTCGGCAAGCATGGCCCAGGTGCTAGTCATGGCCCTCCAGTTTGGGTTGTGACAAATTTGGTATCAAAGCAAGTATGTCCTATGGTTTGTCTATGAGTCGTGTCTAGTAGAGTCTTGATTATGGATATGTAGTATGCCACATTTATAATCAGGAGGCTACATAACATCTAGGGTTGTTACCTTCTTCCTGAATCTAGATCGCACGTAGAGTTGAGTCATAAGTGTTCGTCTTTAATATTCACCTTGTTTTCTTTCAGCGATGCCTTCGACTAGGAAGCAAGCAATTAGTAGACAGTTTGGTACAATTGTGGGAGAGGGTACCAGTCAGGTGCCCCAAGCCAGAGCAGGCCAAAGTGAGGCTCGGAGTGAGATGTCGTCTCATACCTCATCTACTCCGTCTCTTCCAGAGGATATTAGGAGGCACCCGGTACCACCAGTTCCTCCATCTAGCACTACAGACCAGGATATGCAGAGTGCGGTGCAATTGTTGACTAGCTTGGTAGTTGCTCAGGCTCAGAGGCAGAATACCGATGTTGTTGATAAACCGGTTAGTACGAGAGTTCGTGATTTTATTAATCTAGATCCTATAGTGTTTACCGGATGAAACCCCAAGGAGGACCCGTAGACTTTAATTGATCAGGTTCATTGTACGCTGCGGGTTATGCATGCTAGTGATACAGAGGCAGCAGAGTTGGCTTCTTATCGGTTACGGGATTTAGCAATTTTCTGGTATGATAGTTGGGAGAGATCCAAGGGTCTGAATGCTCCTCCAGGTGTGTGGAAGGAACTTTCTAAAGCCTTTCTTCGTCACTACTTGCCAGTTAAGATACGATGAGCTAGAGCTGATAAGTTCTTGAACCTTCAACAAGGTAATATGAGTGTGCAAGAGTATAGTATGCAGTTTGATTCTTTAGCAAGGTATGCTCCCCATATGGTGGCCGAGATGAGCGACAGGGTCATCTGTTCGTGAACGGGTTGGGACCACATCTGATAAATAAGTGCACGACAACCTCCTTGGTGGAGGGCATGGATATTTTCCGTATTCAGGCTTATGCCCAGACACTAGAAGATCATAAGTGCCAGCAAAGGGTAGATAGGGAGCAAGATAGAGGCCAGCATAAGAGGGCGAGATTTGCAGGGTATTCTGATGACTTCAGAGGCAGTGTTAAGCCCCAGTCTTCAAGGAGTTCGGTGCCACCTATAGCTAGTGCTCCTCCACAGATTTAGAGGCCTCGATATGATTGATTTACCTATTCTGGTCCAAGTCAGAGTTCACGGGCATCAGGCTCGCAATATCACAAGGATACTAGTTAGACGAGACCCCCAACACCATGTTGTGATCAGTGCGACAAGGCCCACATTGGACTATGCCGTCGAGGTTCTGATGCGTGTTATTCTTGGGAACAGCCTGCCATATGATGCGGGATTGTCCTAACAGAAAAGGTGGTGGTATGGCTTAGCCGATTGGATGTGTGTCTGGTTCTTCCTCATCAGTTCGACCTCCATCACGGGGTTTTCAGCAGTCGACAGGTCGTGGTAGAGGTAGAGGTGCAATGCCGAGTTCGAGTGGTGCTCAAAATCGAACCTATGCTCGAGTAGGTCGACAGGATCTCGAGTCATCTCCGGATGTTGTTACAGGTATATTGTCTGTGTTTTCTTATGATGTATATGCACTGATTAATTCGGGATCTACATTATCATATGTTACACCCTTTGTGGCTAATAAGTTTGGAATGAAACCTGAATTGATAAGTAAACCACTTGCGGTATCTACTCCGATAGGAGATTCTGTTATTACTAGAAGGGTATATAGAGGTTGCATAGTGATGATTTGTAGTCGTCAAACCTTGGTGAATTTATTTGAGTTAGAAATGGTTGATTTCGATGTGATAATGGTAATGGACTGGTTGGCCTCATGCTATGCATTGACTGTCGTACGAAGATGGTTAGGTTTCATTTTCCTGGTGAACCCGTCATTGAATGGAAGAGGAATATTGCTACCCGAAAGGTAGGTTTATTTCCTATCTTAAGGTAAGGAAGATGATCTTAAAAGGTTACATTTATCATCTCGTTCACGTTAGGGATGCAGAGGCAAAGCTGCTTACTCTACAATCAATCCCTATGGTCAATGAATTTCCAGATGTGTTCCCAGATGAACTCCCAGGCCTTCCTCCTGAAAGGGAGATTGAGTTTAGCATTGATGTGTTGCGTGACACTCAACCCATATCTATTTCTCCATACGTGATGGCCCCGGAAGAGTTGCGAGAGTTGAAGGCGCAGTTGAAGGACTTGCTGGATAAGGGCTTCATTAGGCCTAACACTTCACCTTGGGGTGCGCCAGTTTTGTTCGT